GTCGGCGTGGCTTACCCTCCATGCCGTGAACAGGCGCTTTATCCACTCTATATTCTTCTCTCGTTCCTCTGCCCGTGCCTTGGTCTTGTCGTTGTTTCGCACCCATGTCTGTATGGCCATCGAGGCTGCCTTCCCCACTACCTGTAGTTCACTCGTCACCTCTCCCGCGAGCTCCCCTCTCTTTCTTTCGGTTATGGTGTCCGTGAGTGCGGGCAGCGTGCAGGCAATCACGGGCGCTATTTTGTCGTACTCCCCTTCGGCGAGCGCTCCGAATCTAGACCCCATTGCCTTTAAGGAGGCTGCCCTCGCGCGTCTCAGGAATGTAGCGGTGTCTTTTGAGTCCGGCGCCGCCCGTTCGACTATTGCTGTCGCCCTCGCCGTGTGTTTGTCTAGCTTCCGCATGAAGTGACGCGCCTCTTCCTTATTTCCAGCGCAGCTGCCGCTCAGTATGTGCGCCAACGACGCCTGTGGTGGCTCACTGTCTTCTTGTTTCCAGTCGTCCCAGTCTCTCAGTTCTCCGCGTCTCCTCCTTGCCTCGCGCGCCTCTTTTGTGGCCTCATCCCTAGCCGCCTTGCACGCTCTGCATCCCCAGAACGCGCTTCTCGTGGCGGGGCCCCTCATTCCCCGCTTCGTTTCCCCCTCTGCCACTTCCCGCTTCCCGTCTCTCTTTGCCTGCAGGTGGTCCGGGTCCCACACAATCAACACCCCCGCTTTGAGCGCGCGCGCAGCCGGGTCTTTGTAGGCTGGGGTCCCACACGCCTCTATCCCCTGCGTCCCGAGGTATTCTATCACTTCGCGCATTTCTTCCTCCCCGAGGTGCGTATCCGCCAGCGTGGCGAGCCACACCCCTCCCTCCTTGATGTATCTGATGATCTCCACCAACTTCTTTGTTGCCTCCCGTCCCGTGTTGCGGATCGGTGCGCCTCCCCCCTCTTTTAGTTCCCGGATTTCCTCCATCGCCCCCTCTATGCTCTCGAGGCCCCCGCCGCAGACGTTTAGGGTGGCGAAATGGGCTTGTCCGTGCGCCTTCTTCCGTGGCGCCTTTTTCTGCGCACCCTTGCTCATTCCGTTTCCGTGGAGTGCCTTCATGAGTGCATTCCACTCGGCGATGGGTATGTGCCATGTGTAGGCCGCGGGTATTCCCAGGTGTGCCAGGTCCTCATCTAAGAGGGGCCTCATCCCCAGCCGTTGTGCTCGCGCGTCCGCCCTCTCGAGCGGGCTGGAGGCGGGTTCGACTGCGGGTACCCCGTAGAAGTCCAGGTCTGGGTCGAGCTTCCCTCGCCCCTTCCGCCGCACATTCCGTCGGTGTCGCTTCCACGCCCACACCCTCCTCTTTTTTGCGCGGATCGGGAGGGCGGCGATCTCTGCCCCCGTCCATGCTTCGCGTCCCCTTGGCGCTGGGCGCCGTCTCCCGCGTTTTCTTTTTCGGGCGCGCCGTCTGGCTTTTTCGCTTCTTTTCTCTCTGTGCGGGGGGTCCTCTGGTTTTGCGCGACCGGGGCTGTGAGGCGCCTCTGGCTCTGCAGCTGGTGGTGGTGCTGCTCCTGTCACTATGTCACTGTGTCGTGGGGCCGACGTGCGCGGTGGCCTTCCTCGGCCCATCCTCCCGTGACGCACGGCGAGGGCGACACTCGCCACGGTTGCGAGCGCCCACCCTATCCACCACCTCACTCCACCCAGAGGCGCCAGCGATGACAGCAAACAATTAAATAAAATCCACCGTATATGAGCCAGAGCGCCGCTGCGGGCCGCCCTGTCCAGCGCTGCACGTGCGCACGCGTCTCGCCCGAGCATCGCGTGGTCCCGGGTTCGAGACCCCGGGGGGGAGGGGGGGGCCTCCTCGGCCTCCTCGGCCTCCTCGGCCTCCTCGGCCTCCTCGGCCTCCTCGGCAGCCTCGGCTGCTTGGAGCCCGAGGAGCACGCGGCGCGGATCGTTTTGCTCGCGGCCTCGCCGACGCGCCGCTCCGCCGGCACGCTCTGCGCCCGTCGGTGGCAACCGCGGCGGCTCTTCTCGCCATGCCAGGCGTTGAGCGCCAGCCAGCAGCAGGCGGCAGCAGCCCGCCGGCAGCTGTACTGCGGTTGGCCCAGCCGCAACGGGTGCTCCGGCCCGAAGGGCGGGCAACTCACGCCGGCTGGGAACTACAGCTAGGTGGTGTCTGTGCGCGGCGGCGGCAGTGGGCAGAGCGAGGGCGAGCAAGGCGAGCATTCAAGTGCGGCCGTTCAAACGTTCCCTAACCCTTGGTCGGGCTGCGTTTAGCAGTTGAAATTCTTTTTCTCCAACCGGGCAAGAATGCTGGTCCGGCAACGCCCTCGCACGTTCGGCCCTCGATGCGGTCGCTTCACACGCGTGTCGTCCACACGTTTTCGTGCCCGCTCGCTCGCGAGCTCCGCCGCGGCCCAGCCTCTCGCCAAGTCGGCCCTCATCGTGAGCAAGGCCGACGGCGTGGCCTCGGTGTCGCTGAACCACCGTCCCGTCAACGCCCTGACCCAAGGCGTGTGCGAGGAGCTGCGGCAGTGCCTCGGCGAGCTGGAGGCCGACCCGCAGGTGCGAGGCCTCCTCCTCGGGTCGGCGCTCCCCGGCCTCTTCTCGGCCGGCCTCGACCTGCACGCGTTCCACAAGCCCGACCCCGACGCCCTCGCCGACTACTGGACGGCGGTGCAGGAGCTGTGGCTGGCGCTCTGGACGAGCGACCTCGCCACCGTCGCCGCCATCTCGGGCCACTGCCCCGCGGGAGGCTGCATGGTCGCGCTGGCCTGCGACGCCCGCGTC